AGTAAGGACTTGTGTCGCTAAAGTTTCGTCGGAACGAAGTTACGGAAAGTTAATTAGCAAACGGAGACGTAACAATATTTTATAAAGTATGATGATATTAAACTCAAATAACATATTTTGTATTAAGGCAGTTGTTGGGTAACAGAATGAATTTTTTTTTAAAACTTTCTTATTTATTATAATTATCGGATGTCAATTTAAAAAAAAAAGAAACAAAACTAGGCTGAATATATCACAACATCTTTACGAAATCCGAATTTCCTAAGTTCGTCATAAGTTGCCATTCTGTATATTTTGAATAATTGAGTAATTATAAAAGTAATACTTATACTTGTATTACATGCCAAGTTCCAAAACCATTATTATGATATTGTTGTTAATACGGTAATTTTTGTTTAGTTACAGCCATGCGTAATAATATTACAAGGTTAACTTTGCAACCATTTGAAATCAATAGATAACAATGAATTAACCCCCGCTAATATCAAAGAGGGAAGAGAGTTTCGTTAAATCCACAACCTAATCAACGAAAAGAAACTTTTACACCATTTTGTTTAAGCTCAAGGTTACAAAATGTGTCATCTCAGCTCTATCCATCTCTATGAAATAAATCGCGTTATGATAAATTCGAGCGTTTTGAGATAAAATATGCTTAATTTAACAGTTTTTGGTCATTGAATCTCAAGGCAGTGTACATGAAACTGTTACAAGAAAACCACGTGAATAATGTTGAATCTCTATATGTACTGAATAAATATATGCAAAAAGAATAAACTAATTACAATTAAATGAGCAAAAAAAATGAAAAATAAATACATTGTTAAGTTGTAGAGATTAAAAAATCGTTTTGCCATAGGTAAAGTACCTTAATTCAATTTCATCCAGCACACACACACTACCAAAAGCCCCCAGTGGCACAGCGGTATGTCTGCGGACTTACAACGCTAGAAATGGGTTTCGATACCCGTGGTGGGCAGAGCACAGATAGCCCATTGTGTAGCTTTGTGCTTAATTCCAAATAAACCCCACCAAAAAAGGGAGGATATTTCTTAAATGCTCGTTAACTATTTTGACTCTACAAAACACTATAGTTCAATTAAAACATACAACTTTTATAGAGAGGTACTTGTTATTTTTTGATTTCTAGGTAAAAATGTTTATTTTCGCATCCTTTCCAGATTTTTAGGGGCTCCAAAAATATATATAATTTAGAATAGAATACATAGTTTAGAATACAATCGGTTTCTCACATTTAAAAGCCGGAACTGAAATAAATCAGGAAAGTTAATAACAGCCCCCAGTGGCACAGCGGCAATTCTGAAGGCTTATAACGCTAAAAACCGAGTTTCGATACTCGTAGTTGACACAGCAAAGATAGTCCATTGAGTAGCTTTGTGCTTAACTGCTAAAAAATTAACAACAGAATGTTTGGCAGCGGACTTGGGGAGTAGTAAAACAGTCAAGGGAAGGAACTATAACAGCAACGGGACCTCCATAAAACTTAATTCGTCTGCACCTGAATCAGGCAATGTATTATGATTTTTTTTAAACATTCAAGGATAATAAGAAGCAAGCTATTAGCCAAGAAATAAGACGCTATAAAATGTTCACATACTCAGTATCTACACTGAGTGGTCACAAGTAAATAGACACCTAATTTTTTCGTCATTTGACTGATTTATGCTAACTAATTAGTGTTCACAAAACACTATATAAATGAAAATGGTC